CTCCAGGCAAGCGTGCCATACTTCAACACAAACTCCATTCCTAAAGTCACAACGTCTAGATCGCCCAAACACGCTCGGTCATCGGCCGAGATGGACGCTTGAGACAGGTCTTGTGATGTCGGCCATCTCTCGGCAGCCACAGGAGGGCCTTCCAGTAGTTGACCGGCAAGCGGGGTTGGCGGCTTCAGGGGCGTCGATGATAAGGTGCTGGCCGGGTATCTGTCCCCGCCGAACGGGGTACTTGCCTCGCTATTTGAATGGATTCCCGTCATCAAAGGAATAGGAAGCCGTTCCGGCGACCGAGGTGAGTCGTCGCCGCTTCCATGGTCTGGTAGGGATTGGGTGGTGTTCGCGATCCTCGGGTCACTGGGAAGCTCCACACCGAGCTCATCGAGCACACTCAACACATTGCGAACGGTGACCCGAAGGTGTTCGCACTCCTGCAGCAGTTTAGCTTCCCTGGCACGCGTTCGCTGAAGGTCCTTCTCCAGGCATCGCGTGTACCAGACGCGGCGGTCGCGGTACGATCTGGCGGCACGGTCAGACTTCGAGGTCAGAGGTGGCAGACGCGTTTGATAACTTGCTTTTGAGCCCGGCGCAGCTGATCTCGCCGCTTGTCAACGGGGTCCTCCTTTGGCGCTGTTCAATGAGTTGCTTCCGCGTCAGAGTATAGTTACAGAAGTTCGCAGAAGCCAAGTTCACCAACCTGCGGGGTTGAAGATGCGAAAGATGCCCTTTGTCATTGTCAGGCGTCGAGGCGATTGGCAAGTGTCGATTCTTGACCTAATTCACTGAAATGAATGGGCATAAGAAAAGAGCGGGCAGGAAGGTGTCCGGGACGTCTGAGGTGTCGTTCGCCGCGTTGCTGGGCTGAGATCGCGCTGTCGCGACGTCAGCTCTTGAATTTGTCCAAGTCCTGTTTTAGATGGGGTTCATCAACTTGCTCCACCAGTCTTGCAATAGCACTGAAGCGGAACAGGCTCGAATGCCCCACCACGACAATCGCACCCGTGTCAGTGTCCCCAAGCGGCCAGGGAGAAAAGAGTAACTTCATCTTCCGCCAACTTGCCGACGACAAGAAGTACCTATAGCACACCGAGTCGCGTCAATATTGGCGGAGTGGCATCAGACCACCACGTACCCCCGTGTCGCAGCGCAAACGTGCGCGTTGGCTACATGGGCTGATGCGTAGCACAAGCTTGGCTGATCAAGCAGCTAGCACTGTGCCACTGCTCCCACAAGATGGTGGGAATGAAACCACCCCCTGCTCTCACATCCGACCTCTGTCTCACGCCCCACTGGAGCCAACCGTGATGACCATATCAAAATTTCTCGATTCGGCCTAGGCCAAACAGCCCGCTGTTGATGCTGTATCTGAACCTACGACCCTCGGCCTGCCCCGAGTCCCTGAAGAGCTTCGAAGATCAAGCGAAAACCAAGGTCTTCAATCAATATGCCACAATCGAGGTGCAAAAGCCGTCTCAGAAAGTGTGCCTCCTCACTTATTGGAGGCTCCGTCTGGGTACGCCATGCTACAGACATAGCTGCTTTCGTGCGCCTTGGGTGTCACCATGGCGAGACGACGGGCAGACGAGATGAACCCCCCGCCTATGTCTGGCTCCATTATCCAAATAGGAAATTCTGATTATCATGCCGACTTCAATGTCGAGCAGGCGCGGGAAGCCCACCTGGCCGATCTAGTCAACAATGCAAAATGTGTATAAAGCTTGCTTCGTTTCTCGCCATTCATGCCTCCCATCACTCTCCTCATTCAATAACATCGACTCGTGTGCTCAATTACCGTTCATTTACAGCATTTCAACATAGTTTTGCGCCAACCGACACGATTCGCTACGAACAATGCGCCAGCTCTCTCTTCATTTTGTGCTTCAGGCGCTTGTCATGCTAGGCCATGGTGTCTCCAGCCAACCCAACGGCCAGGATGGGAGCTGCAGAGGCCGGGCAGCGGCAAAGGCCATCTACATGATCACCAACGATGAGGCCAACGGGGTTGTGGCTCTCCCAGTTTGCAGCGACGGAAAACTCAGCAAGGGCACGGTGACCAGCACACAAGGCAATGGCTCTGTGGCCCTGCACAGTGACGGAAATCCAGCTACTCCAGATGCCCTTGTGAGCCAGTCCGCGTTGACAATAGCGGGAAAGGTAAGACAATGACCATGGACGCGTTACAAAGGCCTCGTACTGACGGCCCTGCCCTACAAAGCACATTTTCGCCGTCAATGCTGGGTCTAATACACTTTCTATGCTTGCCATCTCTTCTGCGGACCCAACAAAGCTTTCACTGGTAGGACAACCAGTAGCGATTCCCGGAGACTTCCCGAACACTGTCGCGGCTTCGGCCAAGAACGGCCTTGTCTGTGTGGGGACAACGGGATCCAAGAGCGGCATCTCCTGCACATCGTTCTCGGACGCTGGATTGAGGCCGATGGATGATCTCCGGGTTTTCGACCTTGGCCAGACCACTCCGCCCGTCGGACCGACCAACACCGTATCGCAGGTTTTCTTCTCTGCCGACGAATCACAGTTGTTCTGTACTGTGAAGGGCGACCCAGCTACCAATAAGACTGGCTTCTTTTCCACATTCCCGGTCGAGCGAAAGGCCGCATGCCGCGGCGGCGTTGGATCCGCGACCCTCTCCAAAACAGACACTCGGAGCGTGCCCGAGGGAAGCGCCGTTCTCTTCGGCTCACAGACCATCCCTGGCACGTCCAACGTGTTTGCCACAGACGCCTCGTTCGGCGCCATGGTTCTGTCCATCAACCAGACCAGTCGCGCGGCCACCACTGTCGCCAAATCCACGATCGAAGGGCAAGTCGCGACGTGCTGGGTGACTATTTCCTCCACCACGGGCACAGCCTTTGTAACGGACGTGGCCGTGAACCGCCTGGTTGAGATGAGTCTGAAAGATGCCAGTATCATGTCCGAGATAGACTTGTCCGCCACTGGTGACCCTGGCCTGATCGACCTGCGGGCGGCGGGCCAGTTTCTTTACGCATTATCACCAGGCAACGGCACGATCGAAGGTGCCGTGACCGTGATCGACTTGGCTGGGTCTACTAAGATGGTACAGCATTTCGGGCTGCGAGGCATGGCTGGACAGCGAGCACAGGGCATGGCTGTTCTGGCCTGAGGCCCGCACCCGGACTGAAGTGGTGGAGTTACGATGGGTGACTTCGTACAAAGACCTTACAAAGTTCTCGGCTGTTTTTCAAACATTGGGGTGGATGTGTAGCCGGCTGACTTACTTTCAATGGTGGGTGGTTCACTGCTCCTCATCCCAGCAGGAAATATCAGTACATAGTCAGATACAATGCCATTGATCCAGAGCCCATCGGAAGTTTTCGGGATCAACGGTGCTACTTGATCCTAAAGGCAAGCTCAGCGATAAGAATGGTATTCATAGTATGTACCGCTTAGGCTACCATATGGGGTATGTGTGTGTTGGTTAGGTCGCAATGTCAAGGCAGTCGTCAAGTCCGAGTCTCGATCAGAGCAGGCATGCAGCAGAACAATTGGGTCTCGGCGTGAATCAGTCCAACCAGCTTGCCAACAGGCAGTTCGCAGAGATAATACTAAAGTTAAGTCGTCGGCGGGCCCGGCCCACCCGGTAGAGCCGAGTCTTCTAGAACGAGCGGAGCCATGATGGCAAGTGTGCGACGTGGCTGCTTCTCATCTCTTCAACAGCGCTCGGTGTAACGGTCCGGCGACGGCGTGCGACCCCAACCCTTCTCCCCAGCTCCGAGCCCGGCACCAGAACTCAAGTGGCCGCTAAAGGCAGATTTCGTGAGCCCAGTTGAAGGTGTCGCACTGCACGTGTGCATGACTAACTGACGACCGGGCAGAAGGTCCCCAGGGGATTTGGGCAACGACAGACTCTTGGTTCTTCTATCTAACGATTGAATGTAGTCAGTATTCTATACCTGTGTCGATTGAGGCAGGCATCTGAGACATGGTAGGCAGAAGCCGGGTTACCTGAAACTCTCGCCACCGATGGCAGGCCACAACTGTTATTAACGTAGCGAGTTGATATTGACAGAAGGCGCAAATCTGGTTCGCATACTTAGGTATTTTCGAACTCCACCAGTTGTGTTAAACCACTTGTCCTCTGGGTTGCGTGGACCCAATACCTTACTACTAGTCGAAGGTCAGCATAATCACGGTCAGTTTCTTGACGCGTCAGCACGTAACGTCTATCGCCCCCGCACGCTTGCATAGCAACAAAAGGAGCGACAGCTAGCCAACGAGAATTGCATTAGGGCTCACGAGACCGGGAGGTGACTAGCATTGTCAAGAAAGCCGACAGGCCTGGTCATGATTATTCCCGCGCATGAGATATCTATAACGATCGTCAGAGCATCGAGCGCGAGCGACTTAACGGCCTTACAGCTACCTAAGATTTCGTTAAGGAGCTCGAGGGCGGTAGTATTAAAGTTAGAACCTTACGCGACGAAGAGGACCGCGTCCATGCCATCTTTTAGACTTACGACTGGTACCGTACGATATAGAAGAAATTTCCGGACGTTCTTGGCTTCGATAACACATATAAGACTAACCATTTTACGCTATACCGATCCCGGGCCACTAGCATGGTAGATTAGAGGTCGCTAGCTAACTTCGCCTTCGGTCTTATTAACGGCGAAAAGGAGCACCACTTTTACTGGTTATGTAACCGGCTTGACGAGGTTTGCATCGATGTCGGGCTAGACGAACCGGAGGTTATTATTATAGCTAAATATCAAGCTCTCCGCGTAGCCCTCTCGAATACCTTCCCGCGTACCCAACAGCAGCTATACGTATATCACATCTTGGCCAACGTCCGGGCCAAGATTAACGCCCGTTGGAAGGGCACTGAGAGCGACGACCATGACGACGTTACTGTTGATCCAAGAGACATAGCCGCCGAACATCTAGAGCTAGACCTTGATGTTATCGTCGTGGCAGCGTACAACATGAGGCAGAAGACGGCCATGCCAACCCCTCTACTGACTACGATCGTAAGGGGATGGTGAAAGTCTTCCAATCCGTGGTCTATGCCGCGAATCACGATGCCTTCAAAGGCTCGTGGAAGTCTTTTGCCGAGACCTTCGGCAGGCAGCAACGGCATATCCTGCGATATGTTCAGAAGGACCGACGATACAGACGATGACGAGGCCGAGGCCGAGACAACGGAGTCGGGGCAGGTATCAAGCCCGAAGCCGTGGTCAGGCAGCGTATTCTATTAGATCGATAGTGGTTCAATCTGCACTGAGCATTTACACGGTCCGCGGGCCAACCATTGCCATCCAGCCAGAAAGCACTTCCTCAAAATGTTATAAGGCGCGACCTCAGAGCACGCTTCAACCCTACAGCTCGACTTCAGCGACGTCTTTAACAACACAGACTCGAAGATTGCGATCGAAAGTCTGACAAATTCACAGCAGCACCAGCCAGCTCAGGTATCATCGTCTGACACAGCTTCTGGATACTCTCTGGCCATGAAGTCGGCGAGCATACGTTGTATCGGCGAGCATACGTTGTATCTCCCCGTTCTTATCGGTTGTCCCCTCGCCTGAATCCGCGTCCGAGTCAGAAAACTCCGTCTCTATCGCCTCCTGCAAGTGCTCTAGAGACAAGTTTTTCCTGGTCGCATGCTTCAGCAACATCGTCAAACAGGCTGGCTTGTTCTGCAAGACGCCCCGACAGGTGTACAGAAGGGCCGAGTCTCCGTCAGCGTAGTGACTGCTATCCCGGGTGTCGTAATAGTCCCCATCTGCGTCGTCGTACCACTCGCCACCGTCACTGTTTGACACTTCGTCTATGGGTGCTCCATGCTGCAACAGTAAGACCAGGGCTTCTTCGAGCTCTTGTACGGTATCCTCGGCTATGCAGCCCATGAAGCCGTCCGAGTCGCATTCGACAAAAAGCGCTGCGATGATGTACCGCGCGCCATCGTTGTCTGGCCATTTAGTTATGATAGGTATGTCTGTTCGCGCGCCATTCTCGAGAAGATACTCGGCAATGCGCAGGTATTTCGGGCATGCCAGCCAAAGAGGCGGGCCGTCGCAGGGGAAGTTATTTCCTGTGCACCGATTGATGTTGGCGCCGTTCTTGACCAGGCGCTTTACGATGTCGAGGCGACGCTGTTCGTCTTCATCACCATTGTGCCTCTGGAAGCTAAGTATCTTCTCGAGAGGGCCACAGTCGTGTACGTCTCTCGGGACGATGTTTGGGTTAGCGCCGAGGTTGAGAAACTCCTCGACGGCGGCAAGATTCATACATCCAAAGGCTGCGCCTAAGGCAGTTGTTCCGTTGGCAGTTGTAGCGTCGATGGGAACGCCCTCGTTGGCGAATCTGCGTATGATCGCCCTGCAGACGGCATCGTTCCCACATATTCTCGCTGCGGAGTGAAACGGTGTTTCGCCATAAATATTCACGTCCCTGACATTGACTTGTGGATGCTCAAGCAGCAAGTCGATGAGGTGTTCGTTTCCAATCTCGACAGCATCATACAGGGCATGACACACTTCAGAGGAGAGGTATGCGCCTCGTCTTATGAGTGCCGTTGCAAGATCAGGACGGTCTGTACGGTGGGCAATGGCTTCGTGCAAGGGATACCACTGATCTTCGGGTCTATTTCCCCTGTCTCGACCGCACTGGCAGAAGTCCCGGTTAGGTATGTTGAGGTTAGACACGTGCTGGAGCAGGTACTAGAAGATGTCATCATGCTTCCTGCTTAGAGCAAGATGCAACCCGCTCGCGAAGAATCGCTTTCTGCCGGGTATTTCCGCCCAATCCAGCGACATGTCCGCATCGTCGCGGGACCCCGTGACCTCGAGGTTTGCACCGTATGTGTGTGCGCGCTTGATGGTCTCTAATCTGCCAATGTCAGCAGCCCAAAGAACGCAGGAGTCCATGGCGTGGTCGTAGACCAAGTTGTCATTGTATAGCACCGGGTTGATGGCATTATAGAAGTGTCGATTGGTTCGGGCGAGGGCGCCTGTATCTTTGCGGTCCAAGTAGCTAGATACTTGGTGAAGGACTTCCGTGGGGATAATTTGCAGTAGGTTTGCCATTGTACTTTACGACTCGACTTCGAACGGGAAGGAGAGGATGTGAGGAGTAAAAGACGAAGCGAAGGAACATTTTGTCCTCGCTAACTAGAGGATGATCCGTATAGGATACGATGACACTAGTGCCGAGAAAGGTAAGAGTAGCCTACCATTTTTGTGTTTTGAAGCCAGCTGGACCTAAGGCCCACTTCAGGTGGCACCGGCTACCTGGCGAGACGCTGGTCATCATTCTTCGGTACCAGAGTTACCCTCTCTTTGCATCTACTAGAACAGCGTGGCTTATTGAGATAGTTTTCAATAGAGAACTACTATTTACCCCAGCGCATATCTCTATTTGCCCACGCCGCGCCGCGGCGCCAAGGGCCGCCAAGCCGTCAGCCACAGGCCAAGCCGTCAACCCCTGACAGCCCGGCCACACATGCTCTTTTGACAGGTGTCAAATCACGGGTTGTTATGCGTTGCCCACGGTATCACGCGTAAAATCAATGGCGAGGCATGGCGTCTGCCGAATCGAAGAGGATTTGATGGGCCATACAGTGCATATGTTCCTGCATCCTACGATATGCTAATTTTTTACACGCAACGACGAGATTCATGCGCTCTGAGCAAGCAACCGACATGGTGAAAAATCTGATTGCGGAGTGTTAGAAACAGCATTTATTGCGTGTCTGCCTGTATGTGTATGTAGGTTGCTTGAGATTCGTGTAAGCGTGCAACTATTCAGAGATCAATAAGGAGCTTGATGCCAGCCAACGTCGCAATGGAGCAATTGAACGCTATTCTCAACGACCCGGATACATTATTTGACCTCACGGGGACATACCCTACATCGGTCTCCTGCGTCAACGGAAAAACGATTCGCCCTCCAATCCAGCTGCAAGACGCAGCTGGAGAGGAAACGCCTTCCCAGACTCATCGCAATTGATGAGCATAGATTGCGACAGAAAGTCGCTTGCACCTCCACATCCCGCTGACGGGTGCGAGGCTCCGACGAAAGAGCGCCCCGAGCCGATGAGATGCTAGATGGTGTTTGTTTTGAAATGAGGACGCGTTGGAG